CCTGAAACTGTGCTAACTCTAAGAAGGTTGAAATTTGAACAAAAAATTCACCTGTACACCAAGTTTTCTCAGGCGTCAAACAACGCATCCATCTAAGCTTGTGATATCTCAATACTTTGGCATGAGCTGATTAGAATTATTAACAAGGCACGGCACAGGTGGCTTGGCAAGCAAGCTGGATATCGTTTTTGGGGAAAAAGGCAAGGGGATATCGTTTTTGCGGTAGAGCATAACGTTGTCTTTCGGTCTGCGGCCGGCACGCTGCCGGCATGCAGCTAGCAAATAAACAAGAGGTTTGTTTACAGCGAAGTGAAGATGAAATGACACCAAAATAGGTGTGTAGATGGGCAATGGGGAGTTACAACTAAGTATGAAAAATTATGAAAAAATTATGTGAACTAAAGGCGTGCTCAACTTTTTTCGGAATTAGGTGGCTTTCAAGCCACCTGGATAGCCACCTGAGGTGGCTTAGGAAAGAAAAAGTCATAAATTTTTCTTCCCTCACATAATTTTTCTATTTTCTTTACATACTTTTCATCTACATCCCAAACCCTACAAACTGGTTCCTAAACCGCCTCAAACCCCCTTCTCTCCGCTTAATTATAGCCCCTTGAAAATTTTAAATGGCCGCGGAAAGGCTGCTCTAGGCGCGTATTGCTGCACGATGGATGCATCATGCCGCCATTCCGGAGGATATGATTATCATCGCGTGTGTTCGATGATTCTTTTTCGTTTTTTTTTCTGCTTTTGCTTTGTTCCGTTCCTTTTCATGTATTTTCTCTTCGAATATCTCGTGGTGGATGTCGTAATTTTATTGAAGCCAAAGGGGACTTCATTTTTTGCAATTTCGGGACGCCACCTCGTGCCGAGCCCTGGTCTAGGGTCAAAGGGGACTTCGTAAAAATTTGCAAAAGTCAAGGGGACTTCGTTTTTTGCATTTTCAACTAGCCACCTCGTGCCGAGCCCTGATTATTAAATCAAAGCGAAACAGATGTTCTTGAAGCGCACCAAGTGCGAAAGCATATCTTCATTTCAAAGAGATTAACTTTTCCAACTCTAACCTTCTAAATAAGGGCTCTCCTTTTCAAACTGTATGGATGCAGCGTGCAGGAAACACCTCAAATTACAGCTGCAGTTTTACAAGAAACAAATGCAAAAGATTGCAGTGTGATTGAAAAGAACTTTACTGAGGTGCTGGTATGTTTGTAAACCGCTCAAAATTCGTGTTTGATCGAAAATCTACTTCTAGGACTTACACGTTTTGATTATTGTGTTGACATGCCGCTTTCGACTATGCCCTATCACATACCATAAACGTTCTACGGATCATCCAAAAAATTCCGAAACTCTCAAACCAAAGCGCTCTATGTATTTAGGCTGAAAACGGGTAGGAGACTATATGCCGCCGATAGGCTCCACAAGGCGCAGACAGGTGATACTAGTGGCGTACCCAGGATCTCCATGGGGGGGGGGGGGAAGGGATGAGACAAGTTTTTCTGATGAAGGTGCGGGCGTCAGCCACGCACTCCGTAAAAAATTTTGGTATGCTCCCTGAGAATTTTGGCGAAGTGGAGAAATCACGCATTTTTCGAAAGCTGGTCAAATTCGAAATTTAAAGGTTCGTAAAACCAACGTTTTGTTCTACGACCCTTGACATTTTAAATTTGATCTGCTTTCGAAAATGCATAACTTTCTCCACTGCACTACCAAAAATCAAATCTGTTTGCGTGCATCTGTAGCCTACTAATTCTACATCATGCCCAAAATGAATGCGTCATAGTCAAAAAGAAAAAAAGTTACGAAACAAGTTGCCGGCTAAAAAAATTAGGGAGTTTACATTGCTAAACCTGAAATTAATTTTTCAAGACTAAAATCCATGCAAATGGAGGGCGAATTTCGCGCGATTGAAGACGAAAAGCGAACCTCGTGCGATTGAGCACGACTGAAAATCAATTTTATAGCAGGCTACGGTACCTTAGTAGGCCATAAAGATTGAAGATTCAAAGATTTAACTTACAAACTAATCTAACACTAAGATCAATACCTTAGCCCACGTTTAGACGGGCTAAAAATACCATTTCACCGCTTGCAAGGCTGACATTCATAAGAGCTTGATAGGGAAAACGAAAAAGGCACGTACTTGAAAAACTAGGTAGTCAACCTTTTTAATATCAGCAATACCTACCAATCGCAAAACGTATAAAACAACATTTTTTTCCTTTCTCCTTGAACATTCCAAATCTTTTAACGTTGCAAACTCTAATTTTGATAGAAAAAACTCTGCACTACTATAGCTTAAACCGTTCAAAAGCTCTTTATTTCATTTTTTCTTAAATTTTTCTCATGTGTTTTTTTCTTTCTTTTTCGAAAGCTTAACCCGTGCTTCTTTGTAAATTAAAGGGCAGCAAAACAAATGCTGCATTCTTCATTTCTGCTCTATTCAGTGAAAGTCAGTTTAGAGAAAAAGAGCATTTCATTCGCAACACATATATTTTCTGTGACTTGTGCAACAATCTTTGATCGAGATGTATTTTCAAAAACATTCAAAATTGTAAGGTGGTTGTAATTACAAATTTTCAGCATAACATGATTTGTTGTGATTCTCAATTATAGTTCACATACAAAACATAAGCTTAATGCAATATGGCTTTTTTCGCACTGTATATTGAATGTAGCCCTAAAGCATCCGATATCGAAGAAAAAGTACTCAGTTGTAGCTGCGGAAAAATGGGAAATTCAAAGGATATTTTTTCCTGCACTTTTTAGAAACGGTGACGGTACGGCCGAAAAGTATGGGCGCAATGCTTAATCGTGTCCCATCGGTTTTAGTAAACGCAAAGAAAATTATTTTGGCTTCATAGTTTGCAACAAGCGGTCGTCTTATTCCAAGAAAATGTAAAGGCGCGCCCTCATCGTAAGTCACTGCCCGATTGGCCTCGATTGGCTGAAGACGGCGAGTTGGGGCAGCTTCTGCAAGGAAGCTAGACACGGTTTTGAGGACGTTCCAGAAAGTTAACAGGGAAAAGAAAAAGGAAACGCTGCTTCAAAGTCGAAACTGGTCGTCCGCGAACGAAGAACACATGAAAAATTTGAGGATTTATCAGAAAAAGAATTTGCAGGAAGACTTAGGATGTTAGCCTGCACGGCATCGCGAAAAGCCTGAACATAGCACGTTCTCGGTCCAGGCTATAGTAAAAGATGAACTGAATCTTCAAAGGTACCAAATGCTCACTGGACACCAACTGACCAGCGCAGCAAAAGCGAGTCGTTTGAAAAAATGCAGGAAATTATTGGAATTTTTCGAGGTGGGCTCCCTTGAGAATGCCTTGTCTACAAACGAAATAATGTCTACCATCGAAGGTGTCGCAACCCAAAACGACCGTCAGCTAGTAAGTCTGAAAGGATAAAGTGGAAAATGAAAATTCACTAAAAACACTTTTTCTTTCCAGTCTGATGGTTTGTGCAGGAGTCTTAGCGAATGGTAAGACACCGCTTGTTTTCATGCCGAAAAATGACAACATCAACGCCACTGCGTACCAAGAAGAAATTTCAAAAAAGGACGTCCTTTCGAAAAGAAGTTATCCAGAAATGATATTCCAGCAAGACTGGATACCGGCGCATTCGGCGATCGACATCAAGGTTTTTTCAGCTGATTTCGATAAATACCTGCCCAAGGATCTTTGGCCGTTCAACAGTCCTGACTTGAACTCGATGGGCTTTTTTGTGTGGAGTTTGCTAGAGAACAGTCTGAATGGAAAGAATATTACAAGCCTGTAGTGTCGTGTCTGCGCAACGAACTGGAAGGTGCCTAGACGAAAATTGATACTGATTATCTGCGCCGCACGGTCGCCTCAATGAAGACGACTCTGAGCCTGCATCAGGGCCAGAGGAGACTATTTCGAACAATGTACATATCAGTATTCAAGCTTTGTTTGTTACAGGGACATAATAAAAATCAGTATTTAATATTTGATGGCAGATTTATATTTGCGGATGTAACGCCCATACTTTTCGGCGACCCTGAAGATTCTTAAAATTTGAGGAAACTTCTCGTAGAAAACTTCAGTGGAATCCAAAGTTTATATTAGACCATCGACGGCATAGGCAGTGCTTGCAATATTCTCTACATTAAAGTTTAAGCTATGATTTCTTATACTAGGGTTTTTCTAAAAATGCGTGGAGACTTTTGCTTAAAAATTTTTCTCGATGTTGCTGCGATAATTTGAAGTACTATGGTGCATATTACTACGAAAAATTGGTTTTAGAAAAGAATTTTCGAGTTGAAGGTAACACAAATTGCTGCGCTCGTTAAATATTTTTGAACGAAATTAAGATTAATTCATTGAATGAAAGTCAGAAAAGGGGCAGAACGTTTGAAATCCCGATGTTTCATTGGATAAGCTTCAAACACTACTTGCTTAGATAAAGCAACGTTTCGAGAAAATTGGGAATAAAACCTATCCTTTTTAGCCATCAGGCAAAAAATAAAAGGTTTTTTAGCTTCCAGCTTTCCTAGGCCAGTAGACCCAGCTAATCCAGTAACTGCGTTAACTGCTATGCTTTATCGAAGATGAAGTTTGAAAACACGCAAGAAACGAATTTTTTTCTAAACATGACAGAGAGGTGGTCCCGTAAAGTCATTGAGAAAGCTCTATACAACAAAGTGCGTAATAAAAAAATTTCATTGAGTAGATTATGGCTAGAAGATATCACACCTTATTCTATGGCAAACTGCTTTCTGTTGGTGTTAGCTTGACATACGTAATCATGAACTTAAACTATTCATCATCTACCCAATGCTCGAGCTTTCACTCGAAAAGAGCCTCACTATTAACAAAATGTTTCCATTTTTTATTAAAATTCCATATTAATGATGGGGGAATAGGTTCTTATATGTCATGAACGATAATGCTTAATCTTGCGATCCTCTTTTGCATTTTATTTAATTCTTTTTTGAACATAACAGCCAACAAAGTGGCCATATTAATCCGACGAATGTCAAATGATTTGTTGTTACACGACATTCGGTGGTATAAGCAAAGCATTTGCTAAAGAAGTACTGCTGTTTTGCGTCTTTTCTGCATTCATATCACCATAGGGGTACCCTCTTCAACAATGGAAGCGCTAACGCACTCGAGTTCTGAGAGGTTTCATCTCTTATAATTGACTGATTCAAGCCTTACAACCATGCTAGATAATGCATTTGCAGTGCCTCCATGCAAGTCTCTGAGATGAACTTTGGTTTGAACATGCTTCGGCAAACTCCTGTAACCGAATCAATGGTGGTATCTCCAGTTTCGGTTATCTTCGCACTTGCCATGGTTCAACTAGGTGCTAGAAATCGTACAAAATTGCAGATCAACAAGGTGATCGCAAACGGTAAGGGGCCACCAATTTTTCTTTTCCAGAAATTAAGCACTTTTAGTGACTGTTCCCCTTGACATTCGATATATACAGGTTGTCCCAAAAAGATGTGCACACTGTTTGATCGTTAATAACTCTCTTGCTTTCAAGTCTTTTGCCAAGTTTGAGGTACCATTCTATAGACAGAGGATAAACTTAGATTTACAGTATGGAGCGAATCACCAATCGCTCTTCGTTACTATAGGATCACGGCAAAAACTCTCAGCATACAGCGTCGCTGTGGGATAAGCCTTTTGATGAAATAACTTCGAAAAAATCTAAAAAATTGTGCAACAAAGTTTTCAAACGTGCTGATTTTACTACATAACTTTCCACCAGTTTTTCGAGCTTTCTTGATGGCGTATTCACATTTCTAACAAATATTGGAAAATCAGTTGTTACCCTAAATCTGATATAACTCATGAAAGAAACAGTGTACTGACGTGCAATTTTCATATTTAGAATTAGCAACTTCGATTGACCCAGTTCATGAGTTTCTGGCTTGTTTGGCTTTTTTTCTTAGGCAAAAAACTGCTTCCAATGGCTCAAAATCCTTTCCGAAATTCCTACCGTAATCCTACAGTAATGAAGAGCTGCTTATAAATCGCTCCATACCGCAAATCTAAGTTGAACCTCGCTCTAAAGAATGGTACCTCAAGCTTGGCAAAAGACATGAAAGCAAGAGACTTATTAACAATCAAACAGTGTGCACATCTTTTTGGGACACTATATATAAAGCCATTGCAAAAGCGTAGCCCTTTATCTTTGCATCTCAATTTTTATAAATGGAAAAAAGGCTCAATGCTATTGATCTTGCTACCTTTGTAAAGAGGATGATAATGACCTTCATTGAAACAGAGAACCAACTTTTTTTCTTACACAGCCTAGAAAGCTCGTTATCAATTGAAGGTATGGAGATTTTGTATCACAGTGATACCGCTGTTGGGAAGTCACAGGCCAGTAGACAAAAGTTTCTGTTTTGTAGATAGAAAACCTGTTGCTATTCCGCAACCAGATACCCTATGTACAATACCGCTCGTAGCTTGTGAACAAAATTGACGGCGGCCATTGAAGTTAGGCGGTCGCCGTCGACCCGCCATCGAAGTCAAATGCGCGTGCCTCACCATATCTCGGTTCAGAAACGAAATTTAAATCCGGGAACACCATTCGACGCGGCTCGGCGAGAAAGCAAGATTTACTGCTGGTTGCACTTTGTATGGCTTTGTATGGTAGGAACGTCAAGAACTCACTTTGCAGAGATATGTTCAAAAACTTGTGCGTTGATTACAAAAATCACGCGCAAGTCATTTGTAACTTAAATATGAGCCTGCACACTGATCGCGGCAAACAACGGCACCCTACTGGGTGCCCGCCAGTAAGACCTCTTGTAGCGAACAAAATTGGAGATATTACTATCTAACACATGAAACCAAAAGAGGGTAAAAAAACAGGGAGTAATTCTAGGAAAAATAGCTTCTGTTCTTAAACGCCGCGAAGTAGCACACTTGATGTGCAATAAGCGTATTGAGTTACAAAAAAATTAGATGCATTCATTTGCCGCTGATGGCACAGTGCAGAGATACTGTAGAAGAACGATGTCAATCTATTTGAGTTTGTTTACAACGGTGCTTCCGCAATCGCTCAAAGGAAAGTAGTTGATTTTTTCATGATAACATCATGTAAGAGGTCATTTATTTTCGGTCCACAGCGCACACACAAAAATGCTGTACATAGTGAGCATAGTTTTTTTGTAGACGCGTTTTCGCGATGGTATCGCGCAGCGCATTACGTACAAAAAAGCTCTAGTAAGTGCCTTTCAGTGAATTGTGCTCACACCGTATCCTGACTAGAAAGTTAACAAAACTAGGAGGATGAAAGTTGAATTCTTGGAAATTTACAGGGCCCACAAACATAGGCCCGTAGTAACTCGGTCACGGGAGATGATCTCCCCTGAGGGCCTCATATGAGGCTTCGTCGGGTGAGATGAGGACTGCCCACTTTTCCGTGGTGTAAGTATGCAAGCTCACCCTACAGGTGAGCTTCAGATGAAGCCCAGCAGGGAGATCAGCTCGCGACCGAGTCATCGGAGATGAGCCGGGCGACGACATAAGGTAAATACTGTGCTAAAAAGGAGAGCACAGAAAAAAGTCCCGTAAGTTGCCCCCGAGTAACTTACGAAACACCGCAGCTGACGTTCTTTTGCGGTGCAGAATTCCCAAAACTGCACAATTTCCGGCGCCTAAGTGAGCGATGATCGATGAACAGCTGATTGCGCGACGAAATTGGTAAAAAAAGGATTTTTTTGCTTTTTTTCTTGCAGTTGCTGCTTGTTTTTCTTGAAAAAACCACTTTAGATAACAAAAGGGCTTTTCTACTCATCCTTCGCCAAGGTATTAATTCCAAAATACTGCGTATTTGTTTTATCCCGTTGTTCGCTAAGTGAAATCTCTGATAGCGGCTATCATCGATTTTTATACAGCGGCCGCTATCAAAGATCGCCCGGCTAAGTAGCAAAAATCGTGCTGATAACCGCACTCGAACCACGGCTCTGCCGCTGGAAACGCATTAATCTTATCCACTTGACCAGTAAAGCACAAATGGCATATACATTCCACCTTTGAAAACGCGAGCGTCTAATAAGTGATCTGTTCCAAATCAATCGCTCCTCTGGCAGTGTGCTGAGGCGCGATGAGATCAACTCCGGTCTGCCTCAAGAGAGATGCCCTGATGAGGGTTTACCACGGGCCATAATATTTCGAACGAGCTACAGCAGCAGCTTAAAAAACTGATTTGGTATTGTAGGCTGATCGGCATGTTATTTTGATTACTTACCTTGAGTTGATCTGAGGTCTTCAATCATGTCCTCCGGACGGGTTTTTGTAAGTGCATCATTCCATGCTTTCTGCGTAAGAAGGACTCCCAAAGACAATACTAAATAGTGCAGTTTCTCGAGTATCTTAGCAGCTGGACAGAGATTGATTACATATATGTGATTCTTGTGATCAGCGGGTCAAACAACCTCTTTGAACAGATTCTCCAATAAAATAGGTCCACTTGATTTTCTCTCGTTCCTAGCTCTCGTCCTCGCCCGCAGGTTTTGACTGAAATATTTATGCTCTTGGATTACCAAAAACTTCGCTCACAATTGCTTTCTGACCCGCTGTTTACAAAAAAGCTTAGTCATTTCTCACTAAGGAGTGTGACAGTAAAGCTGTGGTGAGAGAAAGAAATAACCGAATTACGCAAGGTCGCAAATCCGTTTGCATTTTTGTCTGACCTTATAGATCTTACTCACAAATTTTTGCATGTTAGAGACTCGGTGAATAGCGCTATCGGAGAATGCTCAACACAGCCCTCTATTTGCACTATTTGCAAGGTTAAAAGTCTACAAACTCAAGTTCTCATGAGTTTCGTCCCATTTTCAGGACCGTATAATAGGAAAATTTTCGTAACAAGTTTCCGCCATATCATTTTAGCCATGTTGCAATGCGCTTGTGGCTGGAACTCGCCAAGACAATTTAAGATTTTGTGTGACTCGGTTATATCTTCCTCTCACTATAGCTTTACTGTAAGACTCTTTGATAAGAAATGACTGACCTTTCCTAAACAGCGGGTCAAGTCATTGTGAGTGAAGTCTGCGGTCAATCCAAAAACATAAATATTTAAGCAAATCAAAAGTGCGAATATGTCGCGTTTTTCGGGTTTTTTGCAAAGAACTTGATTTTTCTCGAAAACAAGCGCTTGTCTAAGGCTGAAAATTCATGGTTATACTCCTAAAGGTTCATACTACAGAATCATTTATGTGAGAGAAGCTCAGGATTGTTTTGATAGAAACACGCTGAATTTGGTTTTCTCGATTTTCAGCCGCCATGGAAAAACCGCGAAAATGTGCATACGAATGTCTCGTATAGTGAGTCCATGCGTCAGCAAGTTAGGGGTTCCCAGGACTTCTCTGAGCGGAGATACGATTTTTTTCGTTTTTGTAGATCTTGAGTGCCTTATGAAATTTGGCTCTAAACTTTACGCAGATCAACCTGGCGCAAAGTGGCAAGCTTCATTTTGCAGAGCTTGCTCTGATCTATCGGATGATACCCCACTTACTTACTTTCGTGCGCACCCTGCCGCGATATTACATGATAAAACACGATGCGACATTATTTTCCGGACAACCTAATACAAAGTAATGGAGAATTTTTGTAAATTCTCCATTACTTTATATAAAAAAAAGAGTGAAAAACTCTTTCGACTGATATATATACTGGGTGTCCCAAAAAAATGTGAACACTGTTTGATCGTTAATAACTCCGTTGCTTTTATGTCTTTCGCCGAGCTTGAGGTGCCATTCTGTAGAGCGAGGTTCAACTTACAAGGGAATGGTCAGGAATCGAAGTGGCCAATTCAAGAAAGCTGCATACCATTCGATGCAATATAGAATGCTGGTTTCAAATCTCTCTTCCATATCTGCAGAGCGCCTTTGTAGGCGAAGTTATAAGTCGTTAAAAGTCATTATTTTGCTAATAAATTGTGCGTGTAAAGGGCAAACTTGGCCGTACAAAGCCATTCTTGGCTCAGTGTTAGACCAAAACATGCAACTGGGTCACTTCATATGGCACGTACCTAGAGGTGAGCTAGAATAACAATTATGTGTCTAATTTCGCAGTTTTTGTGTGCGATTTTTTCACAGTAAAGCTGCTCATAACTTCGCCTACAAAGGCGCTCTGCAGATATGGAAGACAGATATGAAATCAGTATTCTATGCTGCATCGAATGGTATGCAGCTTGTATGGATTGGCCACTTCGACTTCTGACCATTCCCCTGTTAGATCTGTAGTATGGAGCGAATCACCGATCGCTGTTCTTTACTGTAGGGTTACGGTATGAACTTCTAGCATGTGGATCTACAGTGAAATATGCCATTTGACAAAATTTTCTCCAAAAAATCTGAGAAATCGTGTACCGGGGTTTTTGCCCACGCTGATTCCATTACACAACTTTTTATGAGTGTTTTTAGCTTTTTTGACGGTGTATTCACATTTCTGACAAATGCTGGAAATTCACTTATTTCGGTTTACTAAGTGTAAGCTAAACCTCGCTCTATAGAATGGTGTCTCAAGCTCGGAGAAGGACATGAAAGCAAGGGAGTTATTAACAATCAAACAGTGTTCACATTTTTTGGGACATCCTGTATATCAGTGGCACACCCAGGATTTCCGCTCGGGGAGGGGGCGACAAAAATTTTTTTCGAGTGAAGGTGCGTGGCTAACGCCACGCACTCCAAAAAAATTTTAGGGGTGCTTCTCAAAATTTTCTTCCAGATTTTAGGGGTTCCCAACCCCTAAAATCTGGAAAAAGGGGGTGGCGTCAGCCACGCTCCCGAAAAAAATTTTTTACAAGGCTAATTTGGACTTTTAAAAATTTTTAAAAATTGTTTTGATTATTTGCAAGTATAAACAAGCTACTTGCGCTTTTTTATAACCCATATAAGTACCTTTCTTGCGACCCATTCTCGGGGGGAGGACGCCCCTTGGTAGCCACTGATATATACTGTGTGTGTGTGTGTTGTGTGTGTATGTTGTGTGTGTGTGTGTGTGTGTGTGTGTGTGTGTGTGTGTGTGTGTGTGTGTGTGTGTGTGTGTGTGTGTGTGTGTGTGTGTGTGTGTGTGTGTGTGTGTGTGTGTGTGTGTTTCGAGGCGGGGCGGGTGTCATAGGCTGCATTCCTCATCGATCGATGATTTTACCGATTTTTATCCATTTTTTTCAAATTTAACTACGGGGCTGGGAGTTTGCACGGAAGGGGGGGGGGTAATCGAGCATGCTGATTACGAATACAATATTAGTTTTTGAAATTATCCATTACTTTTATCGATTTATCGATTTTTTTTGCAAAGTTCAAGCTGCGGGGCTGGGAGTGGGCACAGTGGGGTAACTGAGCATGCTGATTACGAATACAATATTAGTTTTTGGTATTACCTATTACTTTTATCGATTTTATAGATTTTTTCAGGATTTGAGCTGAAGGGCTGGGAGTTGGCACAGGGGAGTAAGTGGGCATGCCGATTTCTGAATGGTTTGTTAAGCATGCACTATTGAGTAGGGGGATCTTTAGTATCCTCTGACATAGGAATACGATTACTGGCGTTTATTCGCTCACCTACCATTAGTAGTTTCAAACATTATGTGGAAGGCCATTCAAGCGTTGGTAGCCATCTTGTAGGTTCCTGCTTTGCTCTGTCGTATGTTAGGTCAAGCCGTAAATGTCAAAGAGATAGCAATACTATGATTTTGGTAAATCGAGAAAAACTTATAAACGACCTATTGACCCTACTTATCAATGGGTCACCATATGTCGAGCTACCTCAATGTTATATACTCATAATTTAGACGCTGCCGATAGGTCCATAGTAAGCTTCTATTCGGATCTTTCCAAGAACATTACCAACTCACCTGGAACACAGGCAAGAATCGCTAATGGATTCTTTTTGAAGTAAGTTATTCTGTTTCCTCTCCACATATACTCTATGGAGTTTATGCGGCCTATGGAGGCAATAGCGAACATAACCGGCTTATTAATGCAATGAAATATTAAAAACAGTTTCGAAATTCGTATTTTTCTAAATGACTTTAGATGCTACCTTGACTTCCGTTTGGCAATAGCAAACATAACCGTCTTAGCTCTCATACAGTTGTTAGCATATCTTAATAATACATTGATGAATGAAATGTTAGAAGCAGTTGCGAAACTTCCACATTTTTCTAAATAACTTCAGATGCTTTGACTTATTTGCACCGTAGGGAAAAAGCATTGCGTATTCAAAAGCAACATCTTCTGGAGAACCAGCCATATTATGCTGTGACTCATGCAATTCCCACGTTTCCTGCAGGTCTGTGATTATTAGGCGTCCAATGCTCTAAAGGCTTTTGTTATTTAATGTTGCGTGAGGCAATAAAACAAAAAAGAGGGTGGTCAGTTGAAAGAAATAATAGAAATGTACCTATGATGTTAGATTATTGAAGTAAATAATTTTCCACATAACCGGTTTCGGGGCTAAGAACTAGACCGGGTATGTGACTTCCTCGGTGCCCCATCTTCAGTAGTTCCCGAGGAAGTGTAAAAGTGCTAATGATGCTAAATTTCTGGTGAGGTACTGGAGCCCTACAGATCATACTTGTAAGAATGAAGTCCGAGCATAATGAAAGAGAGCAAGTCCAATGATTGAGAATGAGATGTATAATGTATCGTTTGACAGAACGTGCACTCTCCCGCTCGAATTCAAAAAAGTAAAGGAGAGGTTGGCCAAATTCATCCATGTGTCATGGTATCTGTTCAATTGTTCTATCAGAAAAGACCGTGCAATATCTAAAATATCAAACAGAAGGTGCTTTCCAAAGTTCCCGTATGTCATGTACCAATGGAAGATGTAAAGCTACGTAAAAGCCATACTTACGTAAGATAAAGGGTTTTCTTTAAATGTCAAACATAAAACTCGAAGTAGTATGCTTTCTTCCCATCCGTTGTCTTTACTAATTTTACAGAGTTGGATAATTCTAGTCTTAAAAGCAGTGTACTCTGTACAATTCCTATAAATTCTCAGTATTTCTGATTTGAAAGTGTTGAAAATAATGTATCTAGGTACGTTTGAAGCCCACTTTGGATACCTCAAGACATCAAAATCATATGCATCTGTTTTATTATATAGACTAAGCTTTACTGAATTATTTACTGAACACTGAGATCCAAAAAATTAGTTTCGGTATCGCTAGCATTAGTCTTCTCTATCACTAATTCCTTATGGTAAATCTCCTTTAGAGCCTCCTCAAACTGTTTGATTTCTTTCGAGATGTGTAGGATATCATCAATGTATCTGTATGTGTTGTTGAAAGCGTATTTATTCGTGACGTTACTACTTATGGCTCGCCTCCTCATATATTCAAATTCCATGTAGGCTAAAGTCAAATCTGCCATTTGAGGGCTGCACGATGCCCCTTGTGGTATGCCTCTCTCCTGTTTATAAATTATACCTGCGAAGCTCAAGTAACTGTTATCGAGAAGCATATCTATCATGTATAAAATCTTCTCTCTGAAAGTATTTTCCTTTGGCTGTAGTCGTGTTTGTGTATGTCGCTGTATAATTTTCTACTCTTATATATCTGTATCCTCTCATACATAGTTCTATAAGCTTCGTCAAATTCTTTCTTACCACTGTATGTGGTAGGCTTGTAAAGAGGCTGGAAAAATCTGCTGAGAAGATTCTCCTTTCTCCACCCATGCCGTTAATTTCTTTTATAATGTTTGTGTTGTTACTTATTGCTCAAAAATGTTTGATTTTGCTTCTATGGAAAATCACATTGCAATAATTCATGAAATGCTTTCTTATATGACTCAAGATAATTGTCAAAAGCTTAGTCAATGGCTTTAAGGTACTTTTTTTGGCTCCTGTTATATATCTGAATTTGACAGGTGTCTTATGCATTTTAGGAATTCCATAGATTCTCGGTATTTCATTGAATGCGGGAAAATCTTTAATGTTTAATCCATTCAAGATACTTCGATGTATCGTTCTGATTTGTTCCATTTGCAGCGTTGTATTTACATAAGTTTTGGCGTTGTTATCCTCCTGTTGTAGTTCTTTCTGTATCATCATCAAATATAATTTTTTACAAGTGAAAGCAAAATTAGAGCTTGCTTTATCTATTGGAGTAACTACGTAATGTTTATGCAATTCATTCAAATCTTCTTGTTTATATTGGTCTTCTATCATTTCTCTCTGCTCCATAATGCTATATAGTTTAGGTGTCGTCTTACTAATAATATGTTCATTGAAACGTCTTTTTAAGATTATTTCTACACTATTATCTGCCTTAAACACACTTCGAAATATGTGTGCCATATTGCTAGCTAGCTCCTCTAACAATGTAAGTATGTCTTGTTTGCATATGAAAGAATGCGTCCTATATTTGTACCCTTTACTAAATAGCTTTCTAAGTTCTTCATTTTTAATGAAGTTTATATCTCCCGTACATATGTGTCCTAAATCCCTGTTTATGTATTCTATGTGCTTATTACACTCACATTCCTTGTGTAATATATCATCAACATTATTGATATTAATATTCTTAAGGAATCTATTGTAATTACACAAGTGATTCCCTACAGGATGTTTCAGCTTATATCTAATTGCTACTCTTAGCCCTTGTAGTTCTTCTTTCCTTTCCGGTATGGCTGTACTTACAGCTTCCTTTATCTCTCTACCATTGCATATACTATTTAGTTTCAATTTGTCTATAATGCTTCCTAAATATGGAACTGTTATATACAGATATTTATGATTCTCAGTTTTGTAAGGTTTTCGATTCCAAAATGGCCTTGCGACAAGTGCATAGACTTTAAGTTTCAAATCGTAATCGTAACTGTTGAATTGGTTATCAAAGGTTACATCAATTAGTCTATCTATATCATGTTTGTTCAATGTACGGAAGTATTTATACAATTCATATGTTTGTAATTCACTTATGTTGCGTAGTATTTCATTTGTTCTGTTAGGGCATAATGCTTTTCTCTTTGCTCTTCTCTTCTTTCCTCTGTATCTCTTTACTTGTATGGGACATTGAAAGTAGGGGTATTCCTTCTTTTCCAAAGGATTGATGAAATCTGAGATGTTACCATAACCTTTTATCTGATCGCTGAAACCGAACGGATATGCTGTGATCATGTATTTAATCCACTGCAGCTCTTTTTCTCTCAACTTCTTCTTGCTATCTTCTACATTACCAACATGGTCCAGTATATCCACGGATATCTCTGATGTACTATGTCCAGTGGATCTGAAGTGCTCAACCATGTATGTCTTTAATGTTAGTTTACGTATACTTCTACTGTGTTGGTTTATACGTTGCCTTAGAGTTTGTTTGGTCTCCCCTATGTACTGTTGTCCACAAGTCAGACATGTTATCATATACACAACGTTTTTGGAGCCACAGTTGGATGTGTCTGTTTTGTTAGTTTTGAAATAAAAATTAGTAGTAGAACTTTTTACCTTATTCTGAAAATTTATCTTATCGCATAAAGAGCATTTCTTTCTACCACATCTCCTTCCTGTGTTATTGGTATACTCTGGTATGTTTACTGTCTTATTTCGATTGCCTATTCTTGTGTTTGGGAACGAGGACAACATTAAACACAAATTCTCATTAGAATTGTTATTAGTGGCGGACCTCAATCCATTGAGTCAGAGGCGGTCCTTCCTGGACTCTTAGGACACTCCTGGACAATAGTTCTCGCTGATTCAGCAGTACAAAATGTTTTCCTCTTTCAATCTGTTTGTATATTAGATTGAACCCAAGGTTGTGTCAATTTTTGAAATGTCTCGCAAATCCCGTACAGTAAAGAAAACAACTACATGCTGCATTCAATGAGAAATTCCTTCTCTAGCTGCTATATTATCTGTGTGAGAGTGCTGAGAAAATTACCAGAAATTACAACCCGTCGTTTTCACCATGTCCAACATCCGCTATTTTCAATTTTCGAAATTTTTATCCGACACTTTTGCGGAAGCTTCGACAGTTAGCAGTTGAGAAAAATCTTTTGCCAACTGATCCAATTTTCTGTAGCTCTGTGACTTGTCCTTTGGAATTTCTAAAATGTATTTTTGAAGTCCCCCACAATGGTCGGCCGCCACATCGTGGCGTGGGGGTGACACACTGGGTGTCGAACTGCGATGCACAGCCGGGTGTATGCTCTGGCAGGGCCTCCCAAGCTGTGAAGGAGTTCGATGTTTCCGGTTTCGGCCGGATGTTTAGCTAAGAGCCGGCCAGGCCAGATCCGCCGCCGTTTAATTTTCTGATCGCTAGGCGGTTCTGCTCTCCGCTCCAAACCCGGGGTCAACGATCGCCCCGTGGAAATCAAGAGTAGGCCTAGTAAGTCTGCTCTTGTAGGGAAAATTTTCATTATTCTACCAGTTAGAAGAATAGAAAGAAACCCTGCACATCGGATCCCGCCTACTTCGCCGGGTGGTAGCAAAACCATGTCAGGGTCCTCAGGGCGCCTTTTGGGTTGGACAAAACGACACGTTTGCCTGGACGACCCGCCATGGAGACTGCTGCCTCATGCTCTGCACCTACAACGTCAGGACAGTCTCTACAAACGCCGACTTCCACGCTCTTCTCGATGCTGCAGAGCACGTCAAGTACCACGTCATCGCTCTGCAGGAGACGAAGTCTAGGAAGAAGGACGTGCGACAGATTAATGATGAGACGCTTATCATTCGTAGTGAGAATGATCCATCACGAAACGTGGGAGGTGTTGACTTTGAAGTCCACCCATCTATCGTCTATCTTTTCTATTCGCGTGAGATCGTGTCACCTCGACTAGTCATTCTCCGACTAAGGCCTCCACGTCAGAAGACCATCAGCATCATCAAGTGCTACTACTCATTAACATCAGCGGCTGACGACTCAGAACTAGATGCTTTCTACGAAGACGTGGAG